TTCTAATCCGTCAATGTGTTCTTCCAGACAACTTTGAGAAAGTTGGTGATGTAGATTCAGCAAAGGAAACATGGGAGATCCTGGAGAAATCATTTGGAGACACTGAGAAAGTGAAGGAGGTGAGGTTACAAACTCACAAAAGAATGTATGAATTGCTTCAGATGGAAGACAATGAAAGTGTGATTGATTTCTTCACCAGAATAACGAACTTGGTGAATCAAATCAAAATATGTGGAGAAGTGTTAACATCAAAATTTTTGTAATGACAAAGATTTTGAGGTCATTACATCCAAAGTTCTATCATGTAGTTGTAGCCATAGTAGAATCAAAGAATTTTGTTGTTCTATTCTCTTTCTCTTCTACCATTAACTATTGAGATATTAAATATAATCTAAGTTGAGTTATCTGGCCCAAGCCCAAAGTTAAATAGGGTTTAGGGTTTGTTATTTTACTTAGTAGACTATTTAGTTGTATACAAATACATAGTTTGTAATTCAATTTTATCATCATTCTATTTAATAATACAATCCTTATTGCTTTATTCTTTCTCTTTCTCTCCTCATTAGAGGTTCCTCATGCACTAACAAATATGTGATAGGTGTATATGTAATGTCTCTCTCACTTGTGTGTTTCTCTTAACCCAATGTTGATGTTCCTCCCCATGATCTAACAAATGGTATCGTGAGCCTTTGGTTTGAGTAAAGGGACCAACTTACTTGTATCGAAAGTCAATGGCGCCACAAGGGTTGTGAGTAAGAAATATTATATTGAAGAGTGTCAACAGTGCCACAAAGGTAGTGAGTAAGAAACGTGTAATACGGTACTAGAGTTTGTAGAAGTAAGAAGATCTTCCACTCAAGGGGGAACATTGTGGACTCACACTTAAGGAGGAGTGTTGAGAATATAGCAAGTGTAAGTAGTGTGGGTAATAGTCCCACATTGATTGGAAATATAGAGACTTAAGCATTTAAAAGTGAGAGAATCCACCCACCTATCACCTTAAGGTTTTAGATGAATATATGGTGTGTCTCTCACAAAGTTGTTGCTTAAAGAAGAAGTTCCACAATGTTCAATGCTCCATAGTGAAAAACTCCCCCAACATTAACAACATCACCAAAACAAAATCATGTAGAAATCCAATTAGCTTTATAGTCTGCAAATAAACACCACATAAACCTCTATACTCTTCCATCATCAACATATCATAAACATACCTCTACCACCACCTTCTTCATCCATCATATTCAACACCACAACACAACATCACAACAACAAATCAATAAAAATAATAGCTCATCAACAAATTGTAACTACAACAAATCCAAAATAAAATAAATAAGAAGAAGAAAAACAAGTAATAACTCATCGTCGCAAAATCCACCGGAATCCTGCCGTTCGCACACAGTCGACAGAAACGTGCAAATCCACCGACGCCACAAAACATCATTCACGCTACCACCACGCGAAACTAGACTTGCTGGCAAACACAACAAGTCTGGTTGCGACCTCACTTCCACCTTCACGAATCATGATCCATGCCAACCACCATAGTAAACATGACCATCGTTGTCTCTACTTCTGACCATGAAAGCTCAGACCATCAAATTCGTCGTCGTACCCCATTGACGTTGTAGAAGCTTTCCTTTTTCACCTTTTTTCGTTTCGATTTCTTTTTCATATTTAGACTTTGTTGTTTTTATTTTTTTTCTAAAAATAAAACGAGATTGATTTGTATTGTTGTAAAGAAGATCGCTTCTGTTATTTGAAAAAAGAAAAGAGATGAAGTTGAATGTTTTAGAAAGAGAGAGAAAAGAAATATGGTTTGAGTTTTAAAAAAATGACAATTTTAATGAGGGTTGAAAGTTTAATTGTTTTTGTTCATTATTATATTTTTCTTATTATATTTATTAATAATTTATTAATTGTGTGTGTGCGCGCGCGTGTGCGTGTGTGCGTGTGTTCAATCTAACTAAAATTGATTAATTAATTAAAAGTATAAAAATAAAATAACACTTTCAGCAAATCATAATAATTATTTTTATTATTTTAAAGACGAAAATGTTAAATATTTTAACATTATAATTGATTAATATTAAAAAAATTGCTTGCATTAAAGGTGAATTTTATGTTGTATTTATAGAAATAATACAAGAATAATTTAGTAAATTTATTTTACTTATAACTTTTACGTATTTTTATTTAAAAAATATGACTATTGACTATAAAATAAATATTAATGTAATAAATCTCGCTGTCAATTTATTTTTATAATGAACAATGATATTTTTTTCAAAAGAGTAATGAAAATTGTTTAATTTGTATTTATTGTGTGAATTTTTTACACTATCCGTAAATTACAATTAATCATTTTTAGAATAAAACTTTCCAATGAAAACGATTGATATTGAAATGCATATGAGAAGAAAAAACAAAAAAATTAATTTATATTTATAACTATATATAAAGGGGATACATGTTTTTGGAGTGATTTATTTTTTTTCCAAAATTACCCTTCATCTTTTTTATCAACAAAAAGAAATAGTTTAATTTAAAATTTTGAGTCGTTAATAACTTTTGTTGGTTACCATTTGAAAAAGTAACTTCCATCTCTCACAAAAAAAAATCTCACACTATAACTTCTATTACCTACTTATTGATGACAGAAGTTAAAAATACTCTTTTATTTATTTATGTAAATTTCATCTCTCCTTCTCAATGAAAATACTATTTTTTAAAACTTTTTTTATTTTATAATATTTTTATTTATTCAATTTTGATTAGTGACCTTTTGATTTTTGAAAGAGGTGAAGTTTATTTCAAGTCAAGACCGCGTCATCGCTCCAATAGAAGAAACTGTTCTCATTATGGCTGGAAATTAATTGTTGTTAGGTAGATTTTTTGGTAATTGCTTTTGTAATTTTTTTTTTGTATGACTTTGTAATTGAGTCTTTTTTACAATTTTATCATTTACGAAACTTTTCTTTTTTTTCAAAACAGAGTTATTAACTATGGAGTAAAAAAAGATAATGTGATACTTGAAGAAATTTCATACTCTAAAATATAGTAAAATACAAGCATTTAATGCAACCAAAATGGATATGAGTGGTTTTCTAATGCACTATTTTTTTTTCGGAAATTATATTTTACTTTTGTTGCAAAATATTATTCATTAATACTATAGTTTTAATTTTTTGTTTTTGTTGTTATTATATTTTATTTCTTAATGATACTTATTTGTATGTTGTGAGTATAAACGCATTATAAAATATGTAAGTATGTAATCTAGATGTTTATAATATAAAAATTATTTCACCAGCATTACTTTTTGGAATGATGTGGTTTTTGATGGTGTTAGTTATTTGTTTTAAATTTTTATTTCTATCTTACTTTTGATTTGTTATTTGTCATTGTAACTATCTATTTGTAGGATAATTTAATTAAGTTTTGGAGATGGTTTGTGTTTCTTTCATATTAAAAAATCATTAATTTGGTTAATACTATTTGGCATATAGAATAAAAGGAGAGATGAGAAGAGGAGATAAAAGTGTTACATATCAATTTCTTATATTAACATTTTTTTTGTTGAATTGTTTAACTAGCACACACTTAAAAATATAAACGAATCAAAAATTCAACAAATTATTATCATCTCATTTTTAGATCTACATTTCATTTTTTAAATTCATCATCTCATTTCTTTTCTCTTTTTTTTTGAAATATTATGGATGATTTTAACGGAAGGTTGTAATATAACGATATAAAATGAAATCTCTTTGAAAATTTTTCACAAACTTAATTAGTACACACAATTTTAATATTTTGTACATTGTTAACAATCATATGTACTATAGAAATAAAAAAACATTTCCTCAAAAAATTATTTTTTTTGATAAAACGGTTTTAAAAAAATTGTCACATTTATTAACACTTAATATATACCGTTCAAATATACTATGACAGTTGCAAAAATATATAACTTCCATTATTTTATTTTTTACGTCTATATGTGTGACCTTGCAAAAATTTATTTTGAATTATTGAAAATTTGAAACACTGACCATTCATTTTCTTAAATTAGTTGAATTTTATTGTTAATTTTTTATTTACGATTTTTATTTTTGATGTTAAAGAGAGATGCACAATAAATGTCATATTACTTACAAATTTAATTTGAAAAATAATTTAACTTCTAATTTATTAAATAAATGACATTTTAAAATTTATTTCAAACATAATAATGCATATCAAAAAATTTAGTATTCAAATAATTTTATTTAGGGTAACGCTAACTTGTACTCTTGGGGCACATGTTAAAAAAATCCACAAATTGAAAATAAGTATTGGAAAAAACAATAAAATCATTAATGTTAAACTTCTATTAAGTTTAATACATAATTTTCAATAAATTTTTACTATATTAATCACTTAACTTGTGCTCTTGGGACACAAGTTAGCATTACCCTTTAATTTAAAACATATTTAAATAAAAAAATATTCGTTTATAATATAAACTATATACTCATTAAAAAAATGGACAAACACAAGAAGAGTCGTGTGTGAAGCATATATGTTTGTAGGGAATATACATTTTATTCAGTTTACTCTACAAACTATTCTTTAAATACTTTCATCAAATTTAAAAGAGAAAAAGGGATGGGGGAGAGAGAAATATATATTATAAAATTTATTATATAAATAATTTAAATTAAAATCAAAATTAAATAAAAAATATTCGATTGTATTTTAACGCGTGTGCATATTAAAAAAACGGACAAACAAACATGAAATATTCATTCGGACACTAATATTATATAATATACTATATACCGGGGCATTCCGCATTTTTATATATAGCTAAGCCTTAGCTAGCACAAGAATAAACAGAATTTGGAACAGGAATTTCCAAAATTACCCTTTTCTCTTCCTCAAAATCTCGTTTCGCAATAGCATCTTTTCATTCACACAGAAACGCGCACTCTCTCGCTTTCTCTCTCTTCACGATGGAGAAAGCAGAGAGCTCCACCGCCTCCACCTCCGACCAAGACTCCGACGAAAAGCACCGCACACAACACCACCTAACAGTTCCATCAGGTCTAACTCAACACGAGTTCGACTCACTCATCTCTTTCGTCGTCGAACACCACACCTACCTCATAGGTCCCGGCCAATGCTCCACCTTACTCGCTCAACGAATCCACGCGCCACCTGAAACCGTCTGGTCCGTCGTACGCAGCTTTGACAAACCGCAAATCTACAAACACTTCATCAAAAGCTGCTCTCTCAAAGAAGGTTTTCAAATGAAAGTTGGTTGCACCAGAGACGTCAATGTCATCTCCGGTCTCCCGGCGGCAACTAGTACCGAGAGACTCGACGTTCTCGATGACGAACGCCGTGTCACCGGATTCAGTATCACCGGCGGTGAACACCGCTTGAGAAACTACCGTTCTGTTACCTCCGTTCACGGTTTTGATGACGGTGACGGTGAGATCCGGACGGTTGTTCTGGAATCTTATATAGTTGATGTTCCTGAAGGTAACACCGAAGAGGATACGCGTCTTTTTGCTGATACCGTTGTGAAGCTTAATCTTCAGAAGCTGGCGTCTGTCACCGAAGGAAAGAACCGTAACGGTGACGGTAAGTCACATTAGTAGGGACCACATCACCGCAAGTTTTATTAAATACCGAAAGAAAAAAAAAAGGATTGGAAATTGAAATGAAAAAAACTTGTGGTAACTGTTTTGAATGTGTTGTGAAAAGTTGAACTATCGCTGGCTCGCTCCCTCATGAATTCATAAAATAAAAAAGAAAAAAACTCAAAATCGTGTGTTTTTCTTTTTTTCCTATATCTTTTTGGGAGATTCATTTTGTTTTTTTTGTTCTTTTGTGTGAGACTTTTTTTTTTCAATGAAGATTTTACATTCCAGTGTTTTTTCTGCAATGCAATATGTTGTAGTGGATGAGTTTGAAATTGTTAATGGCAATGTGTAAGGGCATTTGAGTCAATATAGTTGTACAGAAAATGTTGACTTGATGATGTGAACATTGTGAATATCATTTGCTTTTTACCTTGATTTTATTCTCCCTAGTGGTTTTATTTGTTTATTTAATTTTATCTACTATAAATATGTGCATGTAATAATCCTATTTAAAGAAGATGCTTCCTTCTTTGGGAAAGAAACGGTTGAAAAATTCTGGAAGGATAATATAATTTTTAATAGTACAAAGTTAAGTTTCTCTTTTATTTTGTTGAAAAAATCATTGGCACAAATTGTATATCATGAACCATTTAGATAGGTAGAAAAGTGTTGACCAATATTTAAAAATTGTTCAAAACTTCAACGAGGTGTTAGAAGTCACATTCTAAAGGTTCAAAGGTTTTCTTATTCTTACAATTGAACGGTGATTTGATTGGTACTCACTAGGTTTTTAGTTCCAACGAGCATAAGTTTAGTATACTGATTAGGACTGTCTTTGAAAGTGTACAAAACACTAGTGCAGAAATGGTTTTTACATCGGGCCAAAAAAATAGTTTACATCGGATCAAAAACGCATTTTACATTGGGTTTGAGTCTGATGTAAAGTTAAACGATATAGTAAATCAAAGACATTTTATATTGGGCCATAGACTGATGTGAAAAATACATATACTACATCGGTTGATAGTTAAGACTGATGGGAAATATGAGTTATAAAAGGTGTCAATATAGGTGAGTTTTTACATCGGTTGTCCAACAGAACCGATGTAAAAGGTGTCATAGGTGTATTTTTTTACATCGGTTGTCCAGCTGAACCGATGTAAAAGATGCTATAGGTGTGTTTTTTACATCGGTTGTCCAGCAGAGCCGATGTAAAAGGTGTCATAGGTGTGTTTTTTACATCGTTATGTCCATCTGAAACAAAGGCATCCTTTTCAACTTCCTCAACAAGAGAATCATACAAAATGCAAAAACCAAAACTAATTTCAATAGTTTTTATCAATCATAACTATAATGATACTTGAAGTATTTTTTAAATTTTACTTACAATTTTCTCAGCAACAATTTGTGTAGACTTTGATGTGTATTCTCCCCCTTTCTTTTGTTGTGCTCTCTTCCATACTTCATGGCGTGACAGTGGAGATGGACTACCATTATCATCTACTATAGAATCATTTCTCGATGATCTTCTTTCATTTTTCATTTTCTCCTCAAGCAAGCGATATCCTCCACGAGATAATACGTGTGAGTATACATTCCTAGCCACACTTTCCATACCCTTTTGACTTTTTTCCTATTATAAACTCAAAAAGTTATTAATCACTAAACATAATAAAAAATTTATGCATGAAAAAATTAATATAATTCTTACTAACTTTAAATTCATGAGTATCTCGAGACTTCATAAACTATTTTCATGTTTCTTCTTTAATATAATTATACTTGACATGTGCATGAGTGAGACCTTCTTTGGGATTTCTAATATATTCTTTTGTGGGTTGTGTCTTAAAACCTCTTCATCGTTCTCCTGCATATTTAATCCATTCATCCTTCAACGGATCCTTCTTTGGATCATCACATTCTGGAATAGTGAAATGAGCCTACACATATACATAAAGAATTTGTTGTTAGTATATGACATATGTTGTTAGTATGTGATTATAAAATATAATAAAGTGTTGAATTTAAAATACCTGAACATCAACCCAAATAACATCTTTTATATCTTTACGTATGTCTTTTCATTCATCTATTAAAATACTACATCTCTTCCGAGCAAGAGATGTTACATAACTCTTAAAAGTTGAAGCATTTTTACCAACACTGGTACATTCATAAGTTCTTGGATCAAACTCGACCTTTATCTTTTCACCCGTTTGATGAACTTTGACAAATTTGTGCCATTATAGTGGGACCTCAAACTCTTCTTTTACTAGGGTTACTAGATGAAGAAGGATTATCGGTTGAATCAGCCATGTACCTTTTTACACAAAATAAAAATAATTAGAAATCAAATCAAGCACAAAATAAAAACAATTAGAAATCAAAGTAATGTCGAATTAACTTATAAAAAAACCTTACTAGTTCTCTCATATCCCTTCTTCATGATCTATGTGAACAACATGCACATCATCCTCTTCATTCTCTTAAATGAAGCTAGACACATTGTTGAGAAAAGAGGAGTTTCAGAAATATCAAGATTCGCATCTTGATTTTCATCACTACCATACACCTTTCCTTGTATAACCACTGACCATCTTTTATTAGAAGGATCTGTGACATAAAACACTTGTTTTGTTTGAGATGCCATGATGAAAGGTTCGTCTGCATAAGCTAACTTGCTAAGATCAACTAGTGTAAATCCAAATTCATCGATTCTTACACCACTGTTGATATCAATCCATTTGCATTTAAATACATGAACTTTAAACACAACATAATTAACTTTCCAAATCTCTTCAATCACCCCAAAGTAGGGTACAGATGCCATAACCGTTTTTTTTTATCTTTAGAACTAGAGAAGTGCATGAACTCGGCCACAATCATAACCCCACTATTTTGTGTGGTACTATGGTCATCCTTTGACTTTATATAAAAGGAAGTTTTATTAATATCATATCCACTCCAAGTTATTATGTTACATTTAGGCTCATAGGAAAACCACTTAATTGTATTAGAAGCTGTTGCACCCCAAAATTTGCCCTCACAATACAAGACTTTGTGTTCTAAGAAGGTTCACAAGGTTCACAAGTTCTCCAACAACTTGCATAACCTTTCATGAAGTTCATAAAGTCCACAAGCTACTTTATGAAGGTTCACAAGGTTCACAAGTCCCACAGTGCTTTCAAGACCTTTCATGAGGTTCATGAAGTCCATAGGTTGCTTCTTGAAGGTTCACAAGGTTCACAAGATTCACAATGTTTACAAAGCTTTCCTAAGGGTCATGGGGCCTACAAAGCCACTTCATGATGTTCACAAGGTTCACAAGCTTCACAATATCTCCCATGAGTATCACCAGATATCTTATGAAGATTCACAAGGTTCACAAAGTTCACAATTGGTCAGAAGAGTTGACAATTCCCTCAGACAATGCACCTCCTAAGCAGTGCATCCAAAACTAGGGTTTTGACTTTAATCAGGCTAAATGGACTTCCAAGACTTCAAGTGAGCCTCATAACATCTTATATGTGTATAAGAACCCCCATGTCAGGTTTCAAGACTTTTCTCAAAAGTTTGCTCAGTCAGATGATCAGATAAGTCAAAAGCAGTCAATGCAGTTAAAAAGTCAAACTGAGGTCAACTGTGGTCAAACCAAAGTCAAACTTCATGATTTTTTGCCGACATCAAAGAGAGGTTGGGTGAGAAATATTATCATAATAATTGTAATACCCCAAATTTTACCCTTATATTTAGTCGGTCATTTCGAATAGCATATGTACATTTGCTAACTACTAACAAGCTATGAAGGGGTTTTGTGTTGCAGATTTGGTCCCAGGGGTATTTTGGTCATTTTACACAAATTCTACCAATTCCTTGAAGACGGGCTGTTATTAAAATTCTGAGGCATTTGATGCATTATGGTTTTGAGGCATTTATCAATCACCAGTTCTGACCATATTGAAATTTGGCATTTGGTCAGTGGAGTTTAATTACGATTAGTTTTGCTGTTGATGCTGAAAATGTTGTGACCACGGTGCCCATATGTGTTGGTTATGAAGTGGTTTGGTTAACATTTTAATCGGATGAGATTAGAATTACAAATATCACTTGGGAGTGTTTATGTTTTATGACTATGTTAATGAATTTAAATGCTTGTGGATTTATTCACAATTGTTTATATTTTTTTTAACTAGGAATAAAATATAAATAAATTCAAAGTGTTGGGAATTTTATTTCATAAAGATATCATTATACAAGAAGGAGGAAATTGTTTCACATTTTTGAATTGCTGTTACAAGGAATTACATTAACTCTAAAAATCCAAAGTCCTAAAATTTCTAAGTGTCTTCATGATGCTCATCTACTGGGCATTACTCCACGAATCTCCGATTCTCCTGCACATCAAAAGGAAACGAAATAGAATAGAAAAATGTTAGAAATTGTTTTTGACACTCTCAGAACAGTGTCATCATCGAGTGCCGGGAGTGGCACAACCGAAGCTGCGTCCTACCCCCGTTACCGATCCGCGCCGGTGGTGTCAGATCAGGTAACACCTGTTCTTATCATTACGGGACATCCGAGAGATAGAAGTGATAAAAGAAGCGGGACTGATTCGTTTTTGCCGCGATTGGAAGTCCAAACAGAACGGAAAATATGAAAAACAACTCATGAACGACACCAAGGTTGAAAGGAGGGACTAATGAGTTGTGAGTATCAACTTCAATCCATGCGCAAGGGCACGAAAACATCCAACAAATCTGTCACACAAAGTTTAATTCCTACTGACAGAAAGGTATCTAACAAGATCAAAAGAAAAGCAATCACATCAGTTCAGAATGCAAACAGCACAGAATCATATCACGAACCATACCAGAAAGAGCAGGATGAGCTCGCGTAATCGCATCAGCTCAGGACAAGCCCCAGTTAAAGGTGCAAGTCAATCACGAAGAGCCAACAAAACAGTTCGATCCTGCGACCGAATCTACCTCAAATTGCTACAAGCGTCGAGGGCT